GATGGTTGGCAGCAACATCATGTCCTGTTTGTCATGCCATGTCAGTGCCATGATGTCATTGGCATGAAATGCTTCTACTAGACTTCCTCCACTAAACCTTGGCATGTGTTTTCTACTACTTCTCACTGTTCCACATATATCAGTATTGTTCACACATAGGAAATCTGCGAGCATAGGGCTTGTATACCAGTTGTCTGAACAATGCATGACCTTTGCCAAGGTATGGCCCCATCATCTTGTGAACATCATCCCCAGAAATGCCCAACATGCGCCTGGTATCGCCGGGTGTATTTTTCCCTGTGTAGATAATGACATCCAACACAAGACCAGTCTCAAAGTCACACATAACAAATAGTTTTATACCAAAGCGATTATGTTTGCTTGGTATATATTTCGAATGACAGTCATCCCTTGAACAGAACCAAAGACTCATCGACAACAATGTTCTTGAATGGATAAAAGTAGGCACTGAATTTTTGCTTCAGATACATAAACAATTCCCAGATTTTGTATAAGAGGCCATTTCTGTTTGGCGTATTCCTGTCTGAGAAGTGCAACATTCATAGCAACAGAGTGAATCTGTTGCAGGGAAGGAGGTCACGAAAGACTGGAGTACTGATGAAGTGGTCTGTGGACCAGCAGTGCTATATTGTTCTTATACGTGTGTGGCATAAGCATGACAGTGCCAAGGAATAAATAAATTTCAGCCACAGTTGTATCTTTACACTTGTGCAGCCATGAAGACTCTGAAACCTCTGTATGGTCCATTGTATACTGGTAGTACATGTTGGTCTGGGTAACAATTAGGTTCATAATCGGCTCATCAAAGTATTGTTGAAAATAGTCTAACTCTGTAGACTCATTTGTGACGGGACAGTGTGGCATGATGCCACTTCTACTGGCATCAAAACTGAAAGGATGTGGCACAAATGGCATACTTTCTGTCCAGTTCCATTCGCGATCAGATGGTGCAGGGTGGACCTCTGGCATGGGACGTGGCAGCACATGGCTGAGAGGGTGCCAGGCAGTCCTTTGTCTGCCCACCCACTGTGCCACGAGGTCCAGGCATCATGCCACCCCCCTCTTCCTCCATCCCAACATTATCACTATCATTATCACTACCACTATCAGTGGCTGGGGTTTTGGATCGTGACCTGCCACAACCCTTGCCGCTGACCACATATGGCACAATGCCTGAATGTTGCAACCCCTGAATGGGTCACAATGTATATAATGTATATTATCTTTTCATATAATTTTATGTTGCTTATATTTGCGACAATAGCTAAATCGTAAATATATTGCTTTATATTATTATTTGACTTAGTTATATTGTTAGGTAGGATGTAACATTTATATATTATTATTATGTGCTCATAGTTCAAGTCTTGATTGTCTAACTACTGTAATTATCGCTCGTGGCTCGTTTCCCTGCCGGCTTCTCAGTGTTGCTGGGCAGCAACTGTCCACGGAGCAATCACGTGATCGAGGGGGAGGGGTGTTCACACCTCACCTGGAGTAGTCAGTCTGGGCTAGACTCCCTTGGTGGTTGGACGTATTCCTGACAAGACGTGCCTAACTCTTCCTTAGTGGCCCTTGTTGGAAGATCGTCTCTGTCGCTTTATTGTTGTAGGTTCTGTGGAACTCTGTTCACAGAACATTGTCTAGACTTAGTGATTTTCGACGTTGTACTGAGGTTGTGTGTCGCATAGACACTGAGCAACTCAGGTCCTGAGCTATAGCTTCTGACCTAATTTGTACTGTTATCTGTGTACTGACACAGTCGGGGATTTTCTTATGCTGAACTTAGATTCAGTAGTATGGGAGTTTTGTGACTTTTGTGGAGGATCTGCAGATGGTCCCTACTTAGTGTCGTTACATTATCTCCTTGATCCTGATTCTGTGTCGCTGTTGCTTGTTATATTGTTGTTCGGCTTAGCAGTCTTTTTTTTTGTTCAAGCAAGCTGTTCTTATTGCCAGGTTGGACAAGAAGTTAGTTTATGTGAGGACTTTGTCAGTCACTGGTTTAAGTCTAGTCGAGTCGTGAGACATAGTGAACTACTTAGAGCACTTACACACAAACTTGTTTGTATATTGTATTATTTAAGGTTAATGTACCAGACGGTACTTAAGACGTATAAATGTGATATGTGCCTTCAGCACAATACTACTGTACACGAGAGAAGTGATTATTATTAATTTGTTTAAATTGATTTTATTTTAATTTGATAATATACTCCTAGACATCTTGATTGTTAATAAATTTATTAAATTTTAATTTCTTTAGTTAGTAGCCTACCAGTTGTAATCCTGAAGCACTAATAATTCTTACTGAATTCTAATGGATAACTGGACCAGGATACTGACTACTTGTTACGAAAACCCAGTAACAGGCTGAATGCTAGAAGGGCAGTCGTTTCTAGTATTCACTGGAGATCTCTATGCTTATTGGAAATCACGTTTTTTGTAACACTGAACGTAGGTTACGATGCCTAAAAGCACGTTTCACTGGGGAATAATGATAATCACTTTCACTTGACGAATTATCTATCGGCACAAAATCGATTTCATCATTGTCACATCACTTTCACTATCATCACCAAAACGCATGGAAAACGATAATTTACTCTTGCGGAGTTGCCTTTGGGAAGTAACACTAGCAACCCCAGAGGTGCTGGGCTGAGGGTCTCTTGCAGCCACACTGGCCACCTCAGAAGTGCTGGGCTGAGGGTTTGGTATGGCCACACTATCCACACTGGCCACCCCAGAGGTCATGGCCTGAGGGTCATCTAGGTTATCAACAAAAGTTTCACTATTTCCTTGATCTTTAGTAACTATATCAGAGTCAAAACCACTAAACTCGCATTCTGTAGTATCACTTTCCGAGAATAGTAGTGTGTTAATACGATGAGGCGTAAATGAATCACGGGGGTTTGCCATGACGTTAACCCAAGATGGAGCTGAAACTAACTGGCGTTACCACGCGGTACCCCAGTGTCCCCGATTTTTTTCATAGTGCACATACTGAGTGTGCACATTAATTCTTTCATGTCTAGGCGACTCGGGCATATCACGCCAATTTTGAAGGAATGAAAAATAAAACGATCTACGTTCAGAGCCTGCCGCACATGAACGTATATCTACATGTGGACAGTTTAAGGGTTAAATACAAGCTTTCTGGAATTAATTAACGTCATTAACTGGAGGTCCACTGCACTGGTACAGTAGTGGTGCGTAGTATGGGTAGAGTAGCGGTGTAGAGTATGGGAAGAGTAGTGGTGCCTAGTACTGGTACAGTAGCTGTGCCTAGTATGAACAGCAGTGCCTAGTACTGGTACAGTAGTGGTGCCTAGTAAGGGTACATTAGTTGTACCTAGTAGTGGTACCACCTAGTACTGGTACAGTAGCAGTGCCTAGTATTAGTACAGTAGCAGTGTCTAGTACTGGTACAGTAACAGTGCCTAGTACTAGTACAGTAGTAGTGCCTCGTACTGGTACAGTAGTGGTGCCTAGTATAGGTAGAGTAGCAGTGCCTAGTATGGGTAGAGTAGCAGTGCCTAGTATGGGTAGAGTAGCAGTGCCTAGTATGGGTAGAGTAGCAGTGCCTAGTATGGGTAGAGTAGCAGTGCCTAGTATGGGTAGAGTACCAGTGCCTAGTATGGGTAGTGGTGCCTAGTACTGGTACAGTAGCTGTGCCTAGTACTGGTACAGTAGCTGTGCCTAGTACTGGTACAGTAGTGGTGCCTAGTACTGGTACAGTAGTGGTGCCTAGTACTGGTACAGTAGTGGTGCCTAGTACTGGTACAGTAGTGGTGCCTAGTATAAATAACAAAAAGGCACAATACCGTGACTGGAACGATACACAAATAACCTGCACATAAAAGAGAGAAGCTTACGACGACGTTTCGGTCCGACTTGGACCATTGACAAAGTCACAGTAACAGAGGTGGAGCAGGACGGCTATATATAGGCAGGAAGAGGTGGAGGTAGTAGTAGTAGTAGTAGTAGTTGTAGCAGTACTCCTGTAGTAGTCCTGCTCCACCTCTGTTACTGTGACTTTGTCAATGGTCCAAGTCGGACCGAAACGTCGTAAGCTTCTCTCTTTTATGTGTGGGTTATTTGTGTATGGTGCCTAGTACTGGTACAGTAGCAGTGCCTACTACAATAGTGGTGTTTAACGCTAGTACAATAGTGGTGTCTACTGCTAGTACAATAGTGGTGCCTATTATATACCCTGTGATAAAGATAGTACCTAGGATGGTTCTGGCTATCAACCTATATACCCTGTGACAGGAGGGTAGTACCTAGGAAGGTTCTGGCTATCAACCTAATATATACCACCCTGTGACAGGAGGGTAGTACCTATGATGGTTGCCGGCTATCAACCTACTATATACCATGTGACACGAGGGTAGTACCTAGGATGGTTGCTGGCTATCAACCTACTATATACCATGTAACAGGAGGGTAGTACCTAGGATGGTTGCTGGCTATCAACCTACTATATACCATGTGACAGGAGGGTAGTACCTAGGATGGTTGCTGGCTATCAACCTACTATATACCATGTGACAGGAGGGTAGTACCTAGGATGGTTGCTGGCTATCAACCTACTATATACCATGTGACAGCAGGGTAGTATCTAGGATGGTTGCTGGCTATCAACCTACTACATACCATGTGACATGAGGGTAGTACCTATAATGGTTGCTGGCTATCAACCTACTATATACCATGTGACAGCAGGGTAGTACCTATGATGGTTGCTGGCTATCAACCTACTATATACCATGTGACAGGAGGGTAGTACCTAGGATGGTTGCTGGCTATCAACCTACTATATACCATGTGACAGCAGGGTAGTACCTATGATGGTTGCTGGCTATCAACCTACTATATACCATGTGACAGCAGGGTAGTACCTAGGATGGTTGCTGGCTATCAACCTACTATGTCTGCAACTGGAGAAAGGTAACCCATCTAATATAAATGTAGCTTACCTGAACAATGCTCCATTTTTTGTCTTTAATTGTGACAGGGAAGGAGTACATGACCCCTTCAGGCAGGTTGTACGAGCCATCAGAGAACACTCCCATAGACACAAAGTGACCTTCTGATGTTCCCTCCCAAATGCTCCTCATGTGGTCACAGGCAGCCTTGGCAGCAGACATTGCAGATGACAACTTGCGAGCAGCGATGACTGCAGCACCACGCTTCTGAACGCTCTGAAAGTTCAATGAATGTTAACGCTACATATTAGTTTCATTAATTCTACTTTTTTCTTTGCTTTTGTGGCCCATGAGACCCATATAATGCACACTAAGTATATCCACTCATTGTATGCAACACCATAGCCTCACTAATACTGTCATCCGCATATTAAGAAAACTTGTTTACACAAAGAGAACAAACACAGGTAAAAATGTTTCACATTAGTACTGTTCTAATATTCTAAATACAGCCTCTCCTCACTTAACGACCAAGTTCCCTTCCTAAGACCAAATCGGTATACAAATTTGTTGCTCAGCAAGCAGCACACTATAATGGTAGTATGCTCCTTGTTTAGCAACATTTTTAGTATATTTTTGTTTATACAGTATATTGTAATAAACAGAATAGAGCAAATTAGGTCAAATATACATTATTTAGGTACAGATACTGGTCAGAGAGCCTGTCACAAGTTCAAGTTGTCGGTAAACGAGTACGTCACTAAGTGAGGAGAGGATGTGTATATACATGTATATTGTACAGTAAACCATACCCCCGGCCGGGATTGAACCCGCGGTCATAGAGTCTCAAAACTCCAGCCCGTCGCGTTAGCCACTAGACCAGCTAGCCACAATAAGATTCATCCAACTAGGTATATTTCTACACCATAGGAAAGTTAGCACAGGCACCTCTGTGACCACAAATACAAGTTTTTACAGACGAATCTCCAGCTAGCGTGGCCGTGACGAACTCTAGCTCAAGTCCCTTCACTGCCGTCAACATGACTCAAGAAATCGTAATGACACGATTGCAAATAAACCATACCCCCGGCCGGGATTGAACCCGCGGTCATAGAGTCTCAAAACTCCAGCCCGTCGCGTTAGCCACTAGACCAGCTAGCCACAATAAGATTCATCCAACTAGGTATATTTCTACACCATAGGAAAGTTAGCACAGGCACCTCTGTGACCACAAATGCAAGTTTTTACAGACGAATCTCCAGCTAGCGTGGCCGTGACGAACTCTAGCTCAAGTCCCTTCACTGCCGTCAACATGACTCAGAAATCGTAATGACACGATTGCAAATAAACCATACCCCCGGCCGGGATTGAACCCGCGGTCATAGAGTCTCAAAACTCCAGCCCGTCGCGTTAGCCACTAGACCAGCTAGACGGCAGTGAAGGGACTTGAGCTAGAGTTCGTCACGGCCACGCTAGCTGGAGATTCGTCTGTAAAAACTTGCATTTGTGGTCACAGAGGTGCCTGTGCTAACTTTCCTATGGTGTAGAAATATACCTAGTTGGATGAATCTTATTGTGGCGAGCTGGTCTAGTGGCTAACGCGACGGGCTGGAGTTTTGAGACTCTATGACCGCGGGTTCAATCCCGGCCGGGGGTATGGTTTATTTGCAATCGTGTCATTACGATTTCTTGAGTCATATTGTACAGTACAGTGGACCCCCGGTTAACGATATTTTTTCACTCCAGAAGTATGTTCAGGTGCCAGTACTGACCGAATTTGTTCCCAGGAATATTGTGAAGTAGATTAGTCCATTTCAGACCCCCAAACATACACATACAAACGCACTTACATAATTGGTCGCATTCGGAGGTGACCGTTATGCGGGGGTCCACTGTATATCTACCTATCTTTCAACATACCAGCCGTATCCCACCGAGGTGGGGTGGCCCAAAAGGAAAAACTAAAGTTTCTCCTTTTAAATTTAGTAATATATACAGGAGAAGGGGTTACTAGCCCCTTGCTCCCAGCATTTTAGTCGCCTCTTATGACACACATGGCTTACGGAGGAAGAATTCTGTTCCACTTCCTAATGGATATGTACAGTATACACCTACCATCCGACTTACGACCAAGCTTGATTCTGACCAACCGGTCGTAAGTCAAAATGGAAGCAAGTCGAACCTTTGAAAATTGCAGACATACTGGGAAATGCATAATGTCAAACTTTTCCTATATAAACTACCTACATAGTCCTGTAATGTAATGTACAATCATTATTTCATTCTTTTTACCATAATTTACTTCTATTGTTATATTTTAAATATTTATGTACTGTATATAATGTATACATGGTAGTGAACTGTATTGTAAATTTTACATCGCATACAGTATCATATGTTACTGTTGTCTTTATGTATTGTCGACACAGTGGAATGGGAGAATACCACTGGTAGTGTCATCCTGCCAGAATGTTGTATAACCTACACCCTAAGTAAAGAGAAACAACTCTGGAACGTGTAATACGTTAAGTAAAGAGAAAACTCTGGAACGTGTAATACGTATCTGGCTGGCTGGCTGGGTGGGTGGCCGGGTGGGTGGGTGGCCAGGTAGGTGGTTGGCTGACTGAATATGGCTCTCTCTCTCTCTCTCACAGGTACACGTAAGTGAAGTTATCACAGTATAAATTACCTAGGATAACCCAAAAAATCCAGACAAAGTGCTATACAGTGGATCTGTGCTCCAGTGCCCTAAATTAATAATAATAATAATAATTATTATTATTGCAATAATACATATGCACTAATATTAATAATAATATTATTAAACTATAATATAATAATCGTGTCCACTCATTACTTACCTTAAAATATCTGTAGTCTTAATGTAGAGTGAGAGGTGAGTAAACAAGATTAAATGAATAAGCGAATGAGAGTGTAGAAGGTTGGCGAGTTATGTAAACAAACGTTGTTGTTGTTGTTACCAGCCCGGACATGAATGGTTTCTGTTCACTCTGTCAAACCGACAAGAAAAACACCTCATATTTGTTAATTTACATGTTTATATGTTATGTAGCATGTTTATCATACAATTTTGAAAAAGAAATCATAGATGGATTAAGCAAAATGTCTATATTAACGTTTTATACACATTTAATGCGCCTCAGTGATTATTATTGTGTTATTATCATTATTAACCCTTTGAGGGTTTCGGACATACTAGTATGGCTTATGCGCAGGGGTTTTTGATGTACATGTACTAGTACGCATAAATTCTAGCGCCGTCAAATCTCGCGGGAAAAGGCTGCTAGGCCTAGGTGTGAGAGAATGGGTCTGTGTGGTCGGTGCACGCGGTAGAAAAAAAATCTGGGACCCAGTGGTGCATTGTGGAAACGCCATCTTAGTACACAATGTCCACCATGCCTCGCGGTAAGAAGTTCCTCACTCCTCGGCGAATTAGGACACTTGTTCTCCAGTGACAGTTCTAATACAGATGGAAGTGCCAGTGAAGATGAGTTTCAAGGTTTTGGCAAGGTTTTGACTGAAACTAATGACCATAATATCGGTAATAGTGAGGAAAACCCAGACAACCCTCAGCCTTCCACCTCTGGTGCTGGGTAGTCTTGTTCACGTTCAGTTGTACCAGAATCAAAGAGGAAACTCCTATTTTCCCAAATCTCACTCAGATGTGAGCATTTGTGATGATAGTGATAGTGATTATGAGCTACAAGCTCATGAAAACAGTTCCAGTAGTGATAGTGAAGTGGAATATTCCCCAGTGATGCGTCAGTATATACGATGATATATGCGCTCTGGTAGTGTGCCATGTGCTATTCCAAGGGGAAGGAGTACATCTCGGAGTACATCCCGTGGTTATACAACAGGAACAGAGAGTGAAAATGATGGTGATAGTGTTGCAATTGGGATGGAAAATGTGCATGGTGGTGGTAGTGGTGGTGATGGCCGTGAGGCACCAGCAGTGGGCCATGCTGCCACCCACGCCGCTGCCTCAGCTGATCTACAACGAAGGCCACCATCCCCCACCCACCCACCACACCAGCCTCCACAACTACAACCTCCACAACCACAACCACCTGTCATTGTCCAGTACCCACCAGCAGACCACACCTGGGATTGGCAGGAAGCTGTCAATTTTGTTCCAAATGCCCACCAGTTTGATGACAGCCAAAGTGGAATACGGCCATCTTGTACACTTGGGAACAATGCCACTGAACTGGAATGTTTTGAGTTATTCTTTGACGAACCCCTGATCAAAAGTATTGTCATGGAAAGCAACACATATGAGTACACCATGGCAAACACAATACTTTCACCAAAATCATGTCTATACCAGTGGAAGGAGGCAACTGTGGCTGAGATGTATCTTTTCTTTGCCACAATAATGCTTATGCCACATGTGTATAAGCACAAAGTGAAATCATACTGGTCAACAGACCGCCTGATTGCAACCCCAGGTTTCAGTGATGTAATGCCGGTGAATCGATTTGTGCTAATGTTACGTATGCTTCACTTCTCAGACAAAACCAGGCCTGACAGAAATGACAGGTTATATAAGATTAGGCATGTGTTTGTGTATCTGAAAGAGAAATTCAATATGTATTTTTATCCCTTCAGGAAGCTTGTAATTGACGAGTCTTTGATTCTGTTCAAAGGAAGACTCTCTCTCAAGCAGTACATACCAAGCAAGAGGAAATGCTTTGGTATAAAGTTGTTTGTGCTTTGTGATTGTTACAGTGGTCTGGTATTGGATATTATTGTGTACACTGGAAGTTATACATTGCAAAATACCAGGAAGTTATTGGGCATCTCTGGTGATGTGGTTAGAACAATGATAGAACCATACCTTGGTAAGGGGCATATACATGTATTATATATTGATAACTGGTACGCAAGCCCCTGACTCAGTGATTTTTTGCGAGTGAACATGACGTGTGTGTGTGGCACAGTGCGTGTAAATCGGAAACATATGCCCAGGTTTGACGCTGGCACTCACAGAGGTGAGGTGCAGGCGTTTGCTGCCAATGACATCATGGCATTTCGGTGGCATGGCAAATGAGATGTCACACTGTTGTCATCAGTTCACCCTAATGAAATGGCAGACACTGGCAGGCAGCATAGAGAGAGCAATGATCCCGTTCTAAAACCTGCAGCTGTGATTGATTACACCTTCAATATGCGTTCAGTGGACAAATGTGACATGCAGATTGGGTTTGCTGATTATGTTCGCAAGAGTTATAAGTGGTACATAAAACTCTTTT